ATAGATAGATAGATAGATAGATAGATAGATAGATAGATAGATAGATATGTTTTCTTAAGCTTTCGCGGGTACTTACATGTATGGTATTCAGCTTTGTTCGGGTATTTTCCCACGTCATTACCACGTCAATACCCAAAACAAAGCTGAATACCATATATGTATGTGTGTGTGTGTGTATATTTATATTTATATTAATATATATAAAAATCCACCAGAATTCAGTACTCACCCTCCATTCTTTCAGCAAGACCAGGGAAGACTTAGAGAAAAATTCTTCTTTTTCTGGGAACATAAAAGCAATAGATATAAATAAAAACAAATGCGTATAACATTTTGGGGACTCTCATACAAGTAAAAGGGTGAGGAAGAAGAGCATAAAATATATATTCAAAGCGGCTGCAAAACCAGGTATAAAACTGGGCGTTTTGAAGTAGGAAAGGTGCTGTTGGAGAATTTTAAATCCAAAGAACTGGAGGTGAAGCTGAGCCGAACCTTTATTTTAAACTTAAAATAACTTTTTAAAACTTTAAATAATTCAAGGGATTGAAAACTGCCACTGAGGTTTTTTTTTTTTTTTTTTTTGATAGTCTTGGAGAATTTCAGGTGAGGTCAAATGGGAGCAGATAATTAACATAATTGATAATTAACAGCACATAACAGAGAATTAAATGCTTTTATATTTATGCTTTTACACCATGTAAAGTGCCCAGAGTCACTTTGGATAGTGAGATGGGGGACATATAAATTTAATAAACCAATTAAGTACATTCTTGATGTGAAATTAAATCCAGGGAGAATGAGAAGGGAAAAATGCAGTGGTGGCAAAAGATGGGAGGGGAGAATTCCCAGAATTGAAAGAATTAAGAATTCTAGGAATTTAAATCCCTCTCCATTTTAAAATTAAGATTAAGAAACATTGCAGTAAACCAAAATAACATCTCCATCCACTCTATGGGTGCAAAACTCCCTCCTTGCTTGAAAATCAACCCCAATAATGATATTTTAAAATCCCCCCCTTTCCTTTATTTTTTTAAATTAATTAATTTGTCAAGCAATTATAAGATAACAGGTATAAGTATAAACATAGTTATGGATACATGAAATGGATACATATAAGAAAAATAAAAAAATATAAACGAAACAACAGGACAGGGACGGTAGGCACGTTGGTGCGCTTATGCACGCCCCCTACAGACCCCTTAGGAAAGGGGTGAGGTCAACAGTAGACAGTCTAAGGGTAAAGTTTCTGGGGTTGCACAACTCCCATGCCTGGGATTGAAACTCAAATTATTATTATTTTTAAAACTTTTTTCCCAAGTTTGTTTAAGGGCAAAGGCAATTGCACTCCCCCCTCCCCCCATTTAAGGGAAGTTGCAAAAAAAGCACGCTTTTGCAATTGCAATTCCACTTTTCCGGATCAGCTGCTTGGAATTTGCCCGGATGAATGCAAAATCCTTGCTTTTCATTCCTCTTTTGCACCGGGGACCCCTCCAAACCTCCCTTTCCCCGATGCATTGGCTGCAATTCCCCTTTTCTCGCTGTTTTGGCGAAGCTGCGACTTTCTTACCTGGATTGCAACTTTTTCCCTTCCGCCCCAAGATGAAAACCCGCCAAAAGTTTTAATTCCGACCTGCCCCGACGCGTCTGCATGAAGTTCCGGGTTTTAAACCAGGGATTTTCTTTGTTAGTATCTCTATGGAGATACTCCATTGGAAGAGCGAGGCCGGCGTTCATGACTACGCATGCGCCAATGACGGATTGGCGCGCTCAGCGAGCCAGAGATAAGAAAATTAAGAGGCGCTCCTCTGATCCGCATGCGCAGTTGCTAGAAGCGGGAATGTAGAAATTTTTAAAGCGGGGGTTTATTACCCAAGGGCAACTAGCAGGGCAGAGGCTTAGTTCAGACACGTGAAGACTTGGAACTTGCATCCACACGTATTTTGTTTCCTTTAACTTGACTTCTTCCTCCCCCCAGTAGCTTAATGCATTGTACAAGCTCACTGGATTTACACTTCACCCAAGGGTTAAACTGGGTTAATGCAAAATCCGGGTTAAGCATGCTGTGTGAATGTAGCCGATCCATCCTTCTTCAATAAAGACTTAAAATGCATTCACAGTATTGGTGTATGCACATGTACTTTTGTACAAAAGCCATGATTCTTAAAATTTAGGAAAATTGTAATAAGAGGAAGTTAAGCCTATGCTGTATAGAGACAGGTTGTTGCTGAAAAAGCAATTCTGCACATCTCCAGGATAAAAGACATCAAAGCTATATATTGGTTTTTAGTATTTTAAGGTTTTATTTGAATGTTTGTAAGCTGCCGAAAATCATCTCAAAGAGAGATGGGCAGCAAACAAATCTAATAAATTTATTTGCAATTTAGAGCCAAACCAAGATATCAATAAAGGAGAATATTTGTAGCTCAGAGTTGAAATGAAGGGGTTCTTGGTGCTCTCTGAACTTGGTGGTTTTCTTGCAAATGTTTCATGACTCAACTAGGGAACATCATCAGTGCTGTTTACACTCCTTACTACCACTGATGTTATTCCCTAGTTGGGTCATGAAACGTCTGCAAGAAAACAAGCATGTTCAGAGAGCACCAAGGACCCCTCAAACCACGATAATGTAGCAATGAAGGTCCTGAACAGATCAGGATCTAAATATGGAGGCTCACTGGACACATTTGGAGCAGTTCCCTTCTCTCAGCCCAACCTGCCTCACAGGGTTGTTGTTGCAGAAAAAAGTTTTGCTGCTTTGCACTTCTGGAGGGAAAGTAGTTGGAAGTCACTCTTTCCTTGTGATGTGGCTGCAAATTTCCTTGGCAGTGTGTGTGGGGCTTCCTATTATTTTTCCTTGTTGATAGCTTTTTTGCTGTACGAGTCTGAATCTGATGAGGCAGCCCATTTTAATCCATGTTTCTATTATCCCAATATTGTAAACCGTTTAAATATGTGCAGCACATAGCAATAGCAATGGGGTTTTGCAATCTTTAGGAAGGTCTTGACTGCTTGCTAAGTAGACAGGACAAGTATAGGTAAAAATCAAACCATTTAACTTTAGGAATCCTTGCTCATTAATAAGGATGAATTTTTCCCTAGTACCAAGTTGTTTACGAACGATCAAGGATAAAAATAAACACTTTCGTTTAGGTTCAAGTTTAGTTGAATCATAGTAATTATGTTACTATGATTAAGGAATAATTGTAGGCACAATTTTGTCTTTTATGATTGGTTTGCCATGATGTCTATTTTTATGGGGGTTCATAGTGATGTACGTGGTTTGAAATTATGTTAAAAAAGTGTTTTTCTCCAAGCCAAAAAAATAAATTAAAAAATTGCCCATTTTGTAAGCTGCTTTCTGGACAAGCTTTTATATGCAAATAAAATTTTTAATCCTTTCCACCTACCTGGTATGGTTATTGGGCCCGCATGACGAATAAACTAAGATAAACAGATCGGATTAAGAAATGTCTGAAATGTTTAAAAGATCTTGTCCAGTTGCACCCAAAGAAAACTCTTAAAAACACTGTTTTAAAAAGCTATCCAGGTCCTCTAGGATCTTCAATAAACTTTCAAACAAAATATTTCAGAACATGGCTTTATTATTATTATTTCCTTCATTCATACAATTCGTTTATCACTTGTGCCATTAAGTCTTTTTTTTTTTTTCAAATATAACATCCAGATTATTCTTTAAAGAGAAATTGCAAACATAAGGGCCAACAAAATATTTATTGGGCAGTTAATTAATTTAATCTCCATTTAGCTTAAACAAGACCACTCACTCACTGTAAAAACTAAGGTGAGCGAGTGTGACCCACACATATATTCTCCTTCAATGGTTTCCTAGCTTTGTTGTAAACTTTATATTAGTAAGGTACTTGTGGCTTACACAAGGTACAAAATCAAGCTTTAAAATAAACATCTAAAATATGTGATTTAATTGCACCACTAGCGACTCCTGCACTGTTTAATCAGTTAAGTAATTCGTGATCTGTTTGATCCATGTTGAAATAATCACAATTTAAATAGGAATCGAATGAATCAAAAGAACAAGTAAAAATCAGCATTCTTATTATTGCTCTCGCTGTCTTTCATCATTTACAGATACGCCACGAATATCAGCAACAGCTTTCAAACTATTGTAGAGTAGAATCACCTACATCCAAGTGTGAATATTTTCTCAACTGGCAATCAACACACTTTTATTTTACCTGTTGTTCAACATATTTCATTGTCTATTTCTTCTTGTGATTCAAGGTACCACACTGTCTTTCAACCACAGTATCCCACGGAGTGCCAAAAAAATTGGACGATGAAAAATTTAAATCCTCCAAAGTCCTCATTTCGCTAGAATAATTGGAAGGTTTAGTGGATGCGGTCCAACTATAAAATGAACCATTCCGGTCAAAACAGCTACAGAAAGGGGTTCAACCTCAAAATCTTTTGCACCCTTTTTAAAATACACGATTAAATATAAATACGCAGCTTTGAAACTGCCTGTAAAGATTTCCAGTCTGCAATACGCCTATTGAACAAGCTGTGTTAAATAACTCCAACACTGTCGTCTTCAAAATGTGTTGGTTCCTAAGCGATGATGCAGTCAATGTATTTAGCTTCAGCCAGCTGGAAACGAAATTGCATGGATGGACATTGTCGTTTTTGTAAGGTCAATTTTGAATGCCTAACTAAACCCTAAACCTCCCTAGGGAATCCCTTCGGAAAAAGCCATTAAGGTCTGCAACGCTTTCTAAACCAAGGTGCATATGGGGACGGACGGACGGACGGACACACACACATATATTTTGCAAAGTGCAGGTTTTCCGAGTGTATCTGAGAACATGGTTTAGATGATACAGTCCATAACATGAATTTGAAGCGTATCTATATCCGGAAGAATTATACTACATTTTGGACAAGAATGTATAGGAATATCCCTTGGCGGCTGTGGCTGATTTTGCTCTTCTGCTCCTGCGGGTACAGAATTTTTGTTTGAAAAAATAAATAAATATAAATACACACACACACACACACACACACACACACACACATATATATATATGCATGCATGCATGCATACATTCATACATATTGTCAGGATTCCGGCAATTGCCCTAATTAAATCATGATCCTCAAGCCAAACTTCAAAAAACTTCCAAGGATTCATTAGAGGCGACATACTGGCATTGCCGTGCATGTAGCCAACTCTGGCCTACGTCATTTACCTGTGACCCTGTTTCCCCCCTGGCTGTGTCATAAATAAGATTCTCCAATTGAGCACCTTCACAGGCTGGGTGTCATCAATCACATTCTCCAATTACGGGCTGGGTATTGTCATTCACGTTCTCCAATTAAATATATTCTCAGGCAAAAGTTCTGCTATTTTAGTTACAATCTTTTAAAGATAAAGAGTTGGAATGTACTTTCGCTTTCAAACTGCTGTCCTGCTCTTCCAGGTTTCCTTCCTTCTCCTCCCCCCTTTTTTATGGCAACTACTAAAACAGGCCTAGGAATATTTTACGAGTTGACACTACATACATACATACATACATACATACATACCTATCTATCTATCTATCTATCTATCTATCTATCTATCTATCTATCTATCCACACACACATATGAATTATACTTGAATAATAGATGAATTTTACATACAGGTAAAATTCGACTTACGACCGCAATTAAGCCCCAAATCTCTGTTGTTAAGGGAGACATTTTAAAAGTGAATCTCCCCCCTCAGCCCCATTTTACAACCTCTCTTGACACCTTAGTTAAGTGAATCAGTGCAGTGGTTAAAATTAAGCCACCCAGTTGCTAAGGGAATCTGGCTTCTCCATTGACTTGGCATGTCTGAAAGTCGCAAAAAAAGAGGACAACGTGATCCCGGAGACACAGCCACCATCATAAAGGTGCGTCAGTTGTCCAGCATCTGAATGTAAATCATGTTGACTGAGGGGGATGCTTCAACGGGCACGAGTGTGAAAAATAGTCCCGGGTCACTTTTTTCCATGACGTTAATTTTGAACAGTCACTAAATGAACGATTGCATGTCGAAGACTAGCTGTATACAATTCAATTCAATTTTCCTTTTATTCCCCCCCCCCCCCCCCCCCCCCCCCCCGCCCCACACCCCCCCACCCTCAGAGCACCCCAAGCACCCCATACTCTTCCTCATCCTCCTCTCCACAAAGCCCACAACCCTTCTAGCACAGTTGATGATGTTGCCTAGTTGGGTCTTGAAAACCATCCAGCTCAGAGAGCTGAAAACCATCCAGCTCAGAGAGCACCAAGGACCCAACACTCCTCTTCCTCCGTCTCCTCTTTTCCTTTCTACTTCTCTTCCTCTTCTTCTCCTTCTCCTCTTTCTCCTCTCCTCTTCCTTTTCTTCCTCTTCTTCTTCTTTCCTTCCTTCCCTCTCCTCCTCCTCCTTTTCCTCCTCCTCCCTTTCTGCAAACCCTCCTCCCTTCTAGCACTGATGATGTTCTGTAGTTGGGTCCTGAAATGTCTGCTAGAAAACCATCCAGCTCAGAGAGCACCAAGGACCCTCTTCCTCCTTCTCTTTTCCTTTCTCCTCCTCTTCCTCTTCTTCTCCTTCTCCTCTTCCTCCTCTTCTCCTTCTTCCCCTTCTTCTTCTTCTTCCCCTCCTCCCTTCCAGCACTGATGATGTTACCTAGTTGGGTCACGAAACGTCTGCACGAAGACCACCAAGCTCAGAGGGCACCCAGAAATCCTCAGCACTCAACCCTGAGCCACAAATGTTCTCTTCAATTGCTTCTGCTCTCAAAACAGAAGGTTCTCCTCAACCCAGCCTGGATTTGCGGCCTAAACAAACTCTCCCTTTCTAGTAGTCATCCCAATTTCATCCTACCTTCCTGCATGGATGGCAGCCTGGTTCCATGCCGGGTTTGCATTTCTGCCAAGGAGCACCTGAGGGGCAAGAAGAGTGCATGTTAAGGGCCAATTCTCCATTTCCACGAGAGGAATTCATTTTTTAAAAAAAATTATTAAAAAGACTTCCTTGGCTGCTGATCTGAGGGCACGACGATGGATGGACTGATGACAATTTTAGAACAAGAACTCAACCGATCCGATAAGAACCGTTGCAGGCAATAATACAATGTCATGCTGCTAAAATCTGACTCAAAACCTCTCTATTGTCAGGATTTCGGCAGTTATTCCTATTTAAATCATGAGTCTCAAGCCAAACTTCTGAAAGTTCAAAAGGATTTATTGGGAGTTAACATGTCCGGCACCGCCTGGGTGGAGCTGACTCTAAGATCCATCATTCCTTGTCACCCTTGACCCTGGTTTTCCCCCCATCCCCTGGGTGTATCATAATTCATATTCTCCAACGGGACACCTCCATAGCCCAGAGTCATCAATCATGCTCTCCAGTTAGAATTTTGCGAAGCAGAAACTTCGGTCACTTATTTACTATCTTTGAAAACATTTATGGAACGCAGTTTCAGTTTGCAAGCTGCTGCACTGCTCCCCCCTCCCTTTCTGTTGGCAACTCTAAAAAGACCACATAAAATATTTTATGAGTTGACACCTATAATCTATCAACCAAATCAATACAAACCAACTTCACTGACTATTGTGGCCCACATTTGGGGCCACTGTTAAGGCGGGGGGGCTCCAAAATTGGTCACTTTTAAGACGTGTGGACTTCAATTCCCAGAATTCCTCAGGCCAGCCATGAGAGGAAGTCCACAAGTCTTGAAGCTTCCAAGTCTGGAGAGCAAGCCCCATTTGAAGGCTTGGATGGAAGGTCCTCTGGACCTCAGGAGAAGGGGCCTTCTGTGACAGAGAACATGTTCTTGGATCCTGTTAGATGGCACCGTTTTTCACAGAAGGGATCTGGAACATACCTGCTCTTCTAAGAATGGTGTTCTGACCTAGGCTTCCTTAGAGAGCATAAAACACAATCTTAGTCCTGGCAAAACGGCTGTGAATTACGTTCATTCAGCCTGCAAGCCTTCACCAACAGTCTTTCAAGGGGATGTTGATAAACACCCACCTTATCACACTTGGAATGCAGCCAGAGAACGAATTGCCAGACTCAGAGCAAGGCCAAACTTGGCACAGAGTCAAACAGAACTTTTCAAAGCTTGAACCGACCAGACGAATTAATTGCTTCCTGCAAAAGCTCACATCCCGCTCGCTCCTCTTTTATGTCCTATGGGAGGGGCCAATCATCTCCGAGGTTGAGCCTTACTCCTGAGCCGACCCTGCTTTCCCAATTGTTCTTGTCTTCTACTAGCTCTACACATGCCCAGGCTGGGAACCGGCTCCAGAAGCTCCCCCGCCTCACTGCTGTCTGAACGCGAAGGCAGCTGCTGACTGCCAGCCTGCCCTGGCCCCATCCCTGCCTCCGATGCAGAGCCCTCGTCCGAGCCTTCCTCAACCTCCAAGACCGGCCCAGGTTCCTCCCCCCAGCCTCCTCACTACTGTCTGTCTCTGCTACCAGCTCCATCAGCCACCAGAGAGCCACGGCAAATGGTCAGAAAGACTTGGGAGATAAGCAGTAAAAGGGAGTAACCCAACCCTCTTCCAGGAAGAACTTTATAGATGGCCACCAACACTCTGAATTGAACCCAGAAGCCAACTGGGAGAAAACATACCATACAAAGCAGCGGCATTGACAAGGGTATCATGTGGTGGACCCAATACTGCTCATGTCTCTGCCTTCTGGACCCTACTGAAGCTTGCAAACTCTCTTCAAGGGCAGGCCCATGTGGAGTGCGTTACAGCAGTCCAATTAACTGAACAAGGTGACAAGAACCTTGATGGGGAAAGGTTCTTGGGAGTCTTTCTTTGCATAGGGAAAGAGAGTCCCTCGCTGGTTCCTCACCTGCCAAGATCTCCACGTTCTTGATTTTCAGCCAGGAAGTATGCCAACTGTGTGGCTAGTTGTTCTTTTTCCTCGTGGATCTTTTCCCTCGCCGCTCTTTCCGCGTGGAAATCGGAACAGTAGACCTCCATCTGCTCAGGAAAACGATGGTCTCACTTCAAGCATTCCTAATATTTTCATCCTGAAGTCTAATCTTCACCCCTTGCTCATCTTAAGAGCCGTGGTGATGCAGTGGTTAGGATGCAGCATTGCAGGCTAACTCTGCCCACTGCCAGTAGTTCGATCCTGACGGACTCATGGTTGACTCAGCCTTCCGTCCCTCCGAGGTCGCCAAAATGAGGACCCAGATGGTTGGGGGCAAAAGGCTGACTCTGTAAACTGTTGAGAGGGCTGCAAAGCACTGTGAAGCGGTGTATAAGTCTAAGTGCTATCTCTCCTTCTCCATTTTCTTCTTCCTTCCTCCCTCTTTCCTCTCTTATTCCCTTTCTCAATCTCCTTCCTTCCTTCCTTCTTATTCCCTTTCTCAATCTCCTTCTGGTGGCAGTAGTTAGAATATAGTATTGCAAGGAACTCTGCTTGCTATCAGCAGTTCGAGGTTGACTCAGCCTTCCCTCCTTCTGAGGTCGCCAAAATGAGGACCCAGATTGAGAGCAAAAGGCTGACTCTGTAAACTGCTTAAACAGGGCTGGAAAGTACTGTGAAGTGGTATATAAGTCTATTGCTATCCCTCCTTCTCCATTTTCTTCTTCTTTCCTCTCTTATTCCCTTTCTCAATCTCCTTCCTTCATTTCTTCTTCCCTTTCTCAATCTCCTTCCTTCCTTCTTCTTCCCTTTCTCAATCTCCTTCTTTCCTTTCCTTCCTTCCTTCCTCTCTTCTTCCCTTTCTCAATCTCCTTCCTTCCTTCCTTTATCCCTTTCCCTGTTTTCCTTCCTTCTCCTTCTCCTTCTCCTTTCCTCCTTTCCTTTCCTTTCCTTTCCTTTCCTTTCCTTTCCTTTCCTTTCCTTTCCTTTCCTTTCCTTTCCTTTCCTTTCCTTTCCTTTCCTTTCCTTTCCTTTCCTTTCCTTTCCTTCCTCTCTTATTCCCTTTCTCAATCCCCTTCCTGGTGGGGCAGTGGTTAGAATGCAGTACTGCAAGGTAACTCTGCCCGCTGCCAGCAGTTCAATCCTGACTGGCTCACAGTCGACTCAGCCTTCTGACCTTTCGAGGTGGGTCAAATGAGGACCCAGATGGTTGGGCGCAAGAGGCTGGCCCTATAAACTGCTTAGGGAGAGCTATAAAAGCACTGTGAAGTGGTATGTAAGTCAAAGGGCTATTGTTATCCAACTAGGCTGGCAGCATCTGTCTGACTTGGTTTGGACTGGGAAGCTAAAGGGGTCGAGGGCCTGGTGAGAATTGAAAAGGAGACCACCAGGAAAACTTGGAAATTGAAAAAACACCCCAGAATGAGGTGTTTCAAACCACTTCCACGCTCCAAAACACCTGGGTGGACGCCTCCAAAGTCATCGGGAGTTGAGATCAAGCGAGGAACATCTCCCCTTCCTTTTCAGGTGTGGCAGGACCTGGCTGGACTTCGCCACTAAGCAGGGCCAGTCACCATCAGGATGGGAGACCACCAGGGAATCAAGCAGACGAGACCCGCCCGGGAAGCTACACCCCGTTCGGCCCTACCTGAGCTCGCAGGATGGCCACCGTCTCCAGCTCTTCTTCTTGCTTCATCAGGGTCTGCTTCATTTTGTCGATCTGCAACTGCTTGTCTGCCAGCGCCTTTTCGGCAAGATCCAGTTTGTGAACTAATTCGTCTAACGTCGCCTGGTCTGGCCTTTGTACCTGAAGTTGGATGAATCAGGGGTATCACCTGTTGAATTTCAGCCACCCAGGCACCAAGCCGATCTTGGGGGGGGGGGAGGGGAATGGCTAAGCAGGGCTGGCCCCGGTTCCTGCTTCGATGGGAGGCTACCAGGAAATGTAGTGTAGGCTGGGAAGTTGAAAAACTTCCCATATGGAAGGAAGAGGAGGGGAAGGAATTGGAGGAGGCAAAGGAGAAGATAGAAGACGGAGGAGGAGGAGGAAGAGGAGGAGGACACAGGAGGAGGAGGAGGAGGAGGAAGCAGGAGAAAAAACAGAGGAAATAAGAGGAGCAGGATGAGGAGAAATTGGAGGAGGGAGGAGGAGGAACTGGAAGAGAAGTAAGAAGAGACAGAAGGAGGAGGGGAGAAGGTGGAGGAGGAAGATGGAGGAGGCAGAAAGAAAAAGAGGAGATAGAAAATGGAGGAGGAGAAGGAAGAGAAGATAGGAGGAGGAGGAGATAGAAGAAGGAGATAGAAGGAGAAAGAGAAGGAAGAGGGGATTAGAGGAGAAAATCAGGAGATAGAAGGAGGAGAAGAGTTAGTAGTAGTGGGTGGAGAAGGAAGAGACAGAAGGAGGAGATAGGAGGAGAAGGAAGAGGAGATAGTACTAGTAGTAGTAGAAGGTGGAGGAGAAAGAAGATAGGAGGAGGAGATAGAAGGAAGAGAAGGAAGAGGAGATAGTAGCGGTAGTAAGTGGAGGAGAAGGAAGAGAGGAGAAGGAAAGAGGAGATTAGAGGAGGAAATCCAGTGGTAGGTGTAAGGAGTAGCCATCCAAGATGGCTTCCCATCCTTAGCGCAACCCTGCTGCTCTCAGTTCAACATTCGCAGCCATTTCACAGCCGCCCCAGATCAGCACTTTCAAAATCTCTGCCCCGGGTGGCAGGAGGGGAAGCCCACGCTGTTCTCTCATGAGGCCCCTCCATCGCTTTCTGCGACGGCTCCCCGAGTCTCACCTCTTTGCCTTTCAATTCTTCCACAGTTTGCAAAGCCTCCGTCAGTTCCTTCACCAGCTTGCCGTAGGCATCCTGGAGGCTGTTGAATTTGGCTCTGGGGAGGAGGCCAAGGAAGAGAAAGCTGAGACAGAAACTTAAAGCAGCCAAGGGAGAGGCTTTCTCTCCCACTCCCACTCCCCCACACACACCCCCTTCAGAGAAAGCCAAAATAAATCTCAGGGGAGCCAAAAGAACCGATACCACACCAGACTTTGGATGGGTTTGTCCATCCTGGGGAGAGGGCGCATGTACGTTCATTTTAATTTAGTTTAGTTTAGTTTTAGTTTACTTTCTTGTCACTGCACTTCGCACCACGAAATTAAAATTCAGCGCACATTATAACTGTACATACAAAAATAAAACACAAACACACATCCTTCACATGCTATACATTGAATCGAAAACCTCAGATATTGCATTAATATTGCACTATTGTCAACTCATAAAACATTCCTATGCCTGTTTTAGTAGTTGCCGTAAAAAAAAAGTGGGGGGAGGAAGGAAATCTGGAAGAGCAAGTGCAACAGTTTGAAAGCAGAAGTACATTCCAACTCTTCAACTTTAAAAGGTTTTAACTAAACTACCGGAGCTTTTGCCCTGGAATATGTTTAATTGGAGAACATGATTGATGACACCCAGCCATTTATGACACACCCAGGGGGGAAAGAGGGTCACAGGGGATTGTAAATTACTTAGGCCAGAGTTGGCTTCATACAGGGCAGGGCCAGTATGTCACCTCTAATAAATCCTTTGAAGTTGGTTGAAGTTTGGCTCAAGAATCATGATTTAATTAGAGCGATTGCTGGAATCCTGACAACTATACGGTAGAATTCAATAGAGTTACTGCCCTGGGATAGAAGCTGTTTTTCAGCCTATTTGTCCTTGTTTTTATTATTGTCCTGTACCGTCTGCCAGATGGTAGTAGTTCAAAAAGAAGGGTTCCCAGGATGAGATGGATCTTTGAGGATGTTTTGAACTTTCTTAAGGCAGCAGGAGCTATAAAGCTCTTCCGAATAGAACTACATTTCAGAATATAACTACGAAGAAGCCACCTGAGGCCAATAAAAAGAGATTTTTATTGTAAAATTCAGCCTGCTTAATGACAGATTTGCAGTGCAGCTTTAATCAGCTTTCCATCTGGGAATACTGCTTGGCAATATACACAGGAGATAAGGAAATAAGAAATAGAACATTTGTTGTGACTGTCCCAAATGTGCTTCTCCCCCCCCCCCCCCCAAAAAAAAAAAAGGCAACTGGACTTCCTTAGTATTTTCCCTTGAAATTTTTTTTTCTTTTCACCCAGGGAGCTTCTTCAGTTCAAAGAAAAAACCCAAGAAAGTCCATTTGCCTTTTGCAAAAAAGCACTTTTGTTGTGGCAGAAGACTCGGACAGTGAGGAGGTTTGGGGGGGAACATGGGCCAGTCCTGGAGTCTGGGGAGGGCTCTGACAAGGGCTCTGCGTCGGAGGCAGAGATGGGGCCAGGGCCATCTGACAGTTATCAGCTGCCTTTGGAGTCGGAGATCAGTGAGGAAGAAGAACAGCTGGAGCCTGTTCCCAGTGTGCGCATGCGCAGAGCTGCCAGGAGAAGGACACCGTTAAAGAACAAGGGTCAACTCAGGAGTAAAGGCACAGGTGGATGGTGAATGGCCCCTCCCATAGGGAATAAAAGAGTGAAAGGGGAGTGGTGTTTGCAGGAGACAATTATTTTGATTCATTAGGGTGAAGATCTGTTCCTGACTGCTTGCCAAGTAACTGCTGCTACAGCATGGCGTTTGGAAACTATCAGCCTGGCAACTCTCCAAGCCTGATAAAGGTCTGTCGTTGTGAAATCTCTTGAAAGACCATTGGCCAGGACTTTGCTGGAGAGGAATTCCCTTTAACCTAAATAAAAGGGGTTTTATCAGGACAAGGAGTCGGCTTCATGATCTTGGGAAGGTCTAGGTCAGAACAACTTTGGGGATAACCACAACCTGGATGGCTGAGAATATCTATAGGCATTTGTTGTCACTCTCACATGAAGTGACAAGTCTATGGAGGTTCTCAGTCATCCAGGTCATGGTTGTCCCAAAGGTGCTTTTTGCAAAAGGCAACTGGACTTTTGTTTTTCCTTGAAGACGTTTCACTTCTCATCCAAGAAGCTTCTTTGGTTCTTGACTGAATGGTGGAAGATTTATATTTATAGGATGTAGGACTGCAAGGAATACAAATCCTTCCTTTCTCCATCATTCAATCAGAACCAAAAAAGCTTCTCGCACGAGAAGTGAAACCTCTTCAAGGCAAAAACAAAAACAAAGAATGGCCAGTTGCCTCTTGGAAAAACACGTTTGAGACGGGGAGATCCAGTCCCTCACTCTCTGTTCCCAAGCCGACACTCACTTCTCATCATTGGTTTTCGCCTGTTCGAGCTTGATTTCTGACTGCATGCTCTCCACCTGCAACTCCAGCTTCTTAACCGTGTACAACAATTGTTGTTTCTCGTCCAGGTCTCCAACACTGGTGGGGTGTTCCCGTTCCAGAATCTGACATCTGGGGAACGGAGACATCGGAAAGGAAGAAACGGGGTAAAAATCTGAAGGAACCAAAAGCATCTTTTCGGATAGAGCGCCATGGCGGTGCAGTGGTCAGAATGCAGTATTGCAGGCTAATCCTGCTATTGCCAGCAGCTCGATGCTGACCAGCTCAAGGTTGACTCAACCTTCCTTCCTCCCTCCCTCCCTCTTATTCCCTTTCTCATTCTCCTTCCTCATGGCACAATGGTTAGAATGCAATATTGCAGGCCGATTTTGCCGACTGCAAGCAGTTCAATCCTGACTGGCTCAAGGTTGACTCAGCCTTCCTTCCTTCCTTCCCTCCCTCCTTCCCTTTCCTGCCTCCCTCCCTCCCATTCCCTTTCTCATTCTCCTTCCTCATGGCACAATGGTTAGAATGCAGTATTGCAGGCTGACTTTGCTGACTGCAAGCAGT